AAAAATTAAATTATTGTAAAAAATATTTTTTATCAAATTTATTTGACATATCAATATTTGATTCTTTAATACTTATTATAAGATAAAAAAAATTAAAATGTCTATTTTTAATTACAACAAATATATAGTATATTGATTCAAGATTAAAACACAAAAATGTATTAACAAGATTAACAATAGTCAAAGTCTTGCTTCTATATATACTAATTACTAAAAACGTCTTATAAAAGCTTCTTAAGAATTGCAAGGCTTGTAGCTTAAAGATTGAGTTATAAATTACTTCCAACACAACTTCTTAAAAGTGATAAACTATAAAATCTTATGTTATGATATATGATAGACTATATGTTTTTTAAAGATCTATTTTTGTATAAATCTTAATTTGATTTAATTAATCAAGTAGCTTTAATATCAAAAATGAAGAATAACAATACTTAATCATAGATTTTTTTGATCTATAAAAATCTACAAAATTTGCACAAATCCATCTTCTATTCTACAAAGAAAGTTGATACACATGCAAGAAATTCTTAGTATTAAATAAAACGTTATACAAGATTTTTATCAACTATTTCCTTAAAAAAGAAAATTTTTTTTTTTGATAGGTTATTAGTTGATCTAAATGGTGATTTAATTCATTCTTAAAGATTATATTTGAAATTTTAAGAAAAATATTAAGATTAAAATAAATAAATAAATAAATAACTATTTAAACATATAGATTAATTAATTGAAAAAAAATACAATTAAAGATAATAAAGTTAAATAATTACACTGAAGCATCCCAAAAACTATTAATACTGCCACCCCAGATCTTAATCCAAAACTTTCTCTTTGACTCTTGCATGTCATAATTCTCTTTACATCTCTACTCATAAACCGTTTCAACCAAAATCCATGATCAATATTAGTTCAATACCATGAATCCATCACTCAAACTTCAATCTCACAAATTATTAAGATATTTCATAGGTGGGTCAATTTGAGATTTATCTGGATCAATTTAATATTCTCTTAAATATATAAAGATGATAAAAGATTTAATTGCTTTAATAAATATTCTTGTGTATTTCCAATTGCAATTATGCAAACTATTTTACCTTAAAAGTCAATATTGTTATCATATAGGGAAAAAAAAAAAAAAAAAAAAAAAAAAAACTCCAAAGAATAAATAAGGATATGGCCACACAAAACTAAGTAAACCTCATCAACATTTGAACATTCTATATAGCTTCAAAAATTCGTACAAAAAATACATGAAAATAATAAATAAATAAAAATGAATTATAATTTGAGCATCTTCTACACCTAAGATCAAATTAGTTTCTTCTTGGAATTTTTAAATACTACATGAGTTGATCTCCACATCAATAGATTTAGTTTTCAAATGTGTCTAAAAAACAACAAGAACATTTTTATCCCATCACCACAATAAAAATGCATAAAAAACACAATAATTGTGCAGAATTTATGAAGTGTCTTCACTCTCTCTGTCTCTCTCTCTCTCTCTTATTTTTATTCTTTCTTTGACTTATTGATAGTGCTTATTCCCTTTTTCCCCTAGTTGGGTGGATTCAAGCATTTGGGCACAGATCTAGTTCAATAATTTGACTGCATTAGGCCCCTTTGGAAGGAAAAACTTGTTTTAAATATTTATATTATATTTAAATACTACTCTGACCTTCCTTCATTCCTTGCTTGCTTGCTTGTTTGTTTGCACACCATCAAGGTCAAGCCGAAGACTGTCTTGTAAATCACCCCATTGTGAGTCAATGTTCTAAGAAAAGACCTTCATTCCTCTTTCTCAATGCAAAGTTTGAACTCTTTTGTCATGGCTATGGACAAGGTGACTGAGAAAGCCTTGACTCGTACCACCAGTTATTTGTAAAGGTCCTTCACAATGAGTCAGCTTTCTTTAGTTTTTTAAAATCATCATGGAAAATTAACAAATTTGCAGTGGGATATTACAGAATGAAATATGTGTGTGTGTGTGTGTGTGTGTAATAAAGTAAACAATATGATTATTTAATTATCAGTGTAATTTCTATTAATAGTAATCACAGGCTTTCATACCTTGTATGAAGGACAATGGTGCTGGTCCATGATCTCATCAAACACTACTAATTATAGATTGTCAATCTTAAGTCCATCCTTGAATATTCTATGCATTCTTCATTTTCGTAAATGCTTCATCCAATGGTATCATTTTTTATTTCTTATTTTAAACCTCAACTTGAGACCTTTCAAAGTCGTTGGTGAATGTTTGGTTTATATTATATTGTAACACAGAAGAGGAGCCTTAAATTAGGGTCAAATATTCAGTCACAATGTATCTCCTAACAAAAATTCGCTTGTGGAAGCAAAATTGACTTCCCAACTAGACCACCATTTGTACATCTGGTAAAATTTAACTAGAAACTTTGCCACAATATCTCATAGGTATGAATGTATATGTATATATCAATATATATATATATATATATATATATATTGGGGGAGAGAGAGAGAGAGTGTGTGTGTAAATATATATTCATCAGCCCACGTGTTTACACTTACAGGCAAGCTGGGCAGTGACCTTGCATGCACATTAACACTTTTCAAATACTAAAAATAAAATGGGGGGGGGGGACATGCACCCAACTGGGTTTTCCTAAGTGGCTGTAAACCGAAGGGACAAACATGTGCCATGTTCAAGAATAGGGGAAGAGAGCTCACTCATTCCCACTGAGGGGCCGTAAAAACAATTACAATAAATAAATAAAACGCAATAAAAGAATATCTCATAAAACAAATAAACCTACACATGTCAATTGGGGGGCCCCAACTCAGGTTGACCACTCCCACATTTCCTGACCTATCCACACCTTTAAATAAAAATATGTAGTGAGTTAAAGTAAAAGTCGTTGGCTTGGGGGTCATCGCCGAAGCCATTCAGGATAAAGACCTGGGCGGAAGACCAAGATGGGGGGTCTTGATTGACCCCTAATTCATCCGCTATTTATGAACAAAGCAACGGACGACAGAGTAAGACTCCCGGTTCTTCGAATGTTGAACACGTGAGCCATTGACTCTTGATGACCTACGACTAGGAGGCGACCTCGGGCCCAGGCCCGGATTTAGAAAGTCAACCCGTTCAAAACGGGGGACCCGCCAGCTCTGCACGCATCTCAAATATGTACAGTATACGATATTCGCGTATATTATATCATATATCCAGCAGGGCCTCGGTGTCCTGTGAACCTACTTGATGAAGCATTTCTGATCCCATGGGGTTGTATGATCTGGGTGTTTCTCTATATTGCACTTTTTCGTACTATAATAAATATATTTGCTTAAAAATTCTTTTCTACATATGATTCTGTTGTTGGGTTTTGTATGAATTTGTGAAAATACAGACTTCCTGCACAACCATTTTGTGTTTGGATCCTTTTAAAGGGCAATAAAAAAATACAAAATACTGTGATGAAATCAATGCATGATCTAACACATGCTGCAATAGTTTAGATGCTGTTATGTAAACATATTCCAAAGAGATTGGCATGTGTGCACAGTCGAAATACTATATATTGTAATTTTTCCAAAAGGAGTGAAAATCCACTTCTTTGCATTATTGAGGGATCACATGTCCTGATCTACCTTACCAAACAGATCTATAGGTTTAGAAAAAAGATAAAAAGAAAAACAAACAAACCTCACCAAGTCCTTTGAATCCTGATACTGTATACCATGTTTCATAATCTTGCAAAAGGGAATAAGACACAAGTATGCAATGTAAGTGATGCAAAATAATACTAAAGTATGAGATCAGAAAATTGTCTTATTGTAAATTCCATGCACCAAATGATTTCCTGGAGCTACAGCCAAAAGAGCAAAAAATTTGTTTTGCACATTCAAAAAAATCAATGCACATTGGATGTTCCACAAATTCATTGTCATGCAGAGCCCTTGGCTTCAATGCCACACCCAAGGATATCAATATCTAAAGCTACTTTAAAAATACTATTCCCTCTTCAAGTTCAAGTTGACTGCATCTCCAAATCAATTATAATTATTGGCATAATTGTTTTGGTTGTGAGGTGCAAATGTAGGAAAACTTCAATGCACTGGGATCATTTCCTACCATGTATTCAACAGAGTGAAGCCTCTTTTAAGGGCTAGTAAAATATTATATATATCCTAAAAAATAATAAATGAAATAAAAAAGGAAGCAACTGTTGAGTGACATGAGACTTGTGCATGATTATTCCTTATTCCCACATCCTTATATACCTCCTCCAGGAACCTTTTACTGAGGCAATCCTGGTACCCATAGCCACCTTGGCATCTAAACCCCCACAATTAAAATATCTTTGAACAGAATCCACAAATCACACAACCTTGCTTAACATACACACACACACCCACATACACTTTTATATACATGCATATATATATATATATATATAGATAGAGTCAAACACACATGCACACACACACATATGTATATATATACATATTGTCAGACACACATGCCCACACCCACATATATATATCTATATACATACATATTGTCAGACACACATGTACACACACATGTACACAGATATAAATTCATTTACTTGCACCATTTTGTTTGGATATTTAATACATTAATGTGATTTTCATCAAGTGGGGTCCAGCGTGGACTCAAGATTTACACTAAAAAGGACAAAAGGCACATTAACAAGGAAGAAGAGTCCACAAAGGGCAGCTGATGATCAAGTTAGGCATCTCCGCTACCCATTTTGTTGTTTGGTGGGTCGGGTCCATTGCATGCAACGCTTTGCCACTCACGGTCCAAGGCGGAGTACAATGAAAGGTGTGGAGGAGAAATGCGAAGAAAAGCATCAAAAAGAGAGGAAGTAAAAAAACTACACTGGAGGAAAGGTAGGAGGGCGAAAAGAAACGGGGCCGAATGACGCGACCGAGGGCCTCTTCCCTTCACAAGAGACAAAATCGATGTGTCGGAAGCTAGCAAAGCATTAAAATTAGCGTCGTAGCGTGAGAAGCGAAAGGCTGCATCGAAGTGGAAGGGATCAGCGAGAGGATGTGGACGAGCACACGGCGGGTATGACGATGATCGTGGGGGATGATGCGTTGCCAACGTCAGTGCGTGTGGGAGTGGCGAGGGTGGAAGATGGCGATTCGGTGACGAGCGTTTGCCTGGGAAATTCAAGGTGGGGAGTTGGAATCGATCGCCCGCAGTTACCGAGCGTCGCGCAATTAACCGCAGCTCCCACTTCAACGCACCGCATTCTTTCCCATCCGGCCGCTGCTTGTCCTCTGTCGGCAGCTAAGTCTGCGCATCAGCTTACGTCACATGTATGCTGGCTAGCCTCATGCTCTACCAAATGCGTTTTAATATATGGTTTTTTAAAATATTGATTATTTAAATCCCTTTTCCCGTTTTTGCTATTCTTCGCATGATTATGGTTTAGTCTTATTATAATTGAGATCATGTACAAAACGAAGCTTGTGACCCGGGGCGGGTCATTCGTAGTCGTTAGCATGCAGAGGACGAGTTGTTGAGGCAGATTGACCAGCTCTTGGATTTGAAGCTTAACTTGAGGTCATCGAGATCTACTGGGGTCCGCTGAGTAACTTGTACATGATATCGTGGAGGCCGTGTGGACCTTGAGGTGTGTTGTAGCTTCAGTTCGTCAGTGCGTCAGTGCGTTCCTGGAACTGTAGTGTTGGGGATTAGGTTTGCTGCTGTATCTGTCAGGATTTGAAGTCGGTCAGAAGTCGATGCGAATGTTGGCTGGGGTTGGAGTTTTCATTTTAGAGGGTTGCTAATAGTAAGGGTGTGATGTCGTTGCGCGTCGTCAGGGAATAAACGTAACGGGTGGCTTGTAGCAGATTGGAACGTTATTTTTCTACTGTGGACGCCATAGCTGCCTGCCGCCAAGAAGCTGACAGGCTGAGTGGAAGTAGTAAGTGATGCCTGCAGGACTTTTAGTTTATGCGAGTCCCAGTTCCTACAGGTTTCAGCGCAATCTGCGCCAATTGCCGTGACGCATGAACTCCCGGGGGGATTCATAGCTCTTGTGATTGAAGTATTTGAAAATTGCAGTAGACATGGTGTAACCACACGTTCAAGGCAACTTACTCCTGCTTCTGACAACCCTCGAACGTGACAGTGGACACGACAGTGTCATCTGAAAGGTTATCTACGCAAGTCTCAGGGCCAGGGGTTCGCTTAGGCAAGGCTTCCTTGAGACGTCCAATTTGTGCACAGAGTGCCAACCTTTCCCCATTCTTCGCCCCTAATTCGATCTAGTTCCGTAGTTCGTATCGAAAAATCTAATTCACGTTCATTCAGTGAAATGGCGAAATTTGCTTTCCAAGCGGTTCTGTCCCTCGCAGTATTGATGCTGGCAGTTGCTGCACCTCAATCAGGTCCGAAAGTAACCTTCTTCAATTATTCAGGAATGCAGGCCACTGTTCACTGCGTGGACAATCCACCCAAAATCTTAGAAGCTGGCGATACTTGCATCGTTCCTCTCACGAGCAGCGATCAGTCCTGCATTGTAACACTCAAGGATGGGGAGCACGCCTCTGCCACAGTTGACAAACTATTTCCCAGTTCTACAAATTCCGGTCATTCCATATCTGTAGACATCAATGACACGTTCCTTTTCTTTGCTGTGGAGGACGCACCTCATCATCAGTACGTAAGCTTCCTTGATAGCCAGAACGAACAGATCCGAGCCGAGAGCAACTCCGATCTTCTGCTGTGGTGAGCTGAGCTTCTCCTTGTGTCCATAGTATACCTGAATTATTTGTGAATGTGATTTTGGGAGGAAAGCAAGGTGGTTTCTTATTGATCACATCAGATTCATGAGTCCTCTGGTACCGAAACATACGAATGCTTGAGTTTCTTTCATGATTTTCGCGCGGTCTTTTGAAGCCGTTCTCACGATCTTCGTGCAAGGGGCTGATTCAACACACTAATTACATTGTTGGACATGCTATGAGAGTTAAATTCAAGAGTTTTGGGTTTTGGTTGAAGAGTGAACTCAATTGTGGTTTTCGTTTTGCAGGTCAATGGAGAATGCTTCTGATGAATGACTCTCTCCATTTGAAGAATACTGTCGAGCAATTCCTCATGTTTCAATGAGAAAGAGCTATCTGATCTATGGCAGATAATTCAAATGATCACGGTTGATTTGAACACAATGAGCGAAGCCAAGTCTCCTTTGTGGAGGTCTTTCACAACCGTAGCAATCCTCCGTGTCCTGTAGCGTATGATAAACCCCCTATGTTGTGTATACTTAGTCTGTCACGCAGGATAGAAACAAGTTCCTCATCCTCAAAAGCCATTACACAAAATATAAATCCTCGATCCTCTCGATACCCCCCCCAGGACGAGGTGCACACACCAAGACTACTTCAAAGGACGGTACTGCATTCATTTGAATTTATCTAGATCTTTGCTGATCGCTGGAATTCAATACCTTCTTGATTACACTATAATGGAATATTCGAGAGCTCCCTATTTCAGCACTCTAGTTCAAGTTTCTTTCAGCAAGTTCTCCATAGCCATACCGTTCAGGACTCTATACAAGCTGTTCTGATGTGAGCGTCCGGGGACCTCATGGTGTGAAACTTGTAATAAACGATAACACTTTATTTGCTGACGCAACTAACAGTGGGCTTATACTATTTGTGGAAATCATCATGCCATGACTGAGTAAATATGCACATTTTGGTGCAGTTAGTGATGTCTCAGCGTCTCAATACAATCTGCACTTATTCTGTTCGCTTTTCCACGAGGATAAATAAAAATTCCTAACCTCGTGACCTCACCACTAAGATAACATAATGATGAAGTGATTTTGAAGCAATTGCCATCACCATAACTCATGCGAATAACTTTACGTTGACCATCTGCTGCCATGTCTCCAATGTTTTCAGCATCTACAGCTCATCATTTGATCGAATCGCCACAGATATCTCATCACTGGCCAAGCAAAAGCACAGACAAGAAACAGGACAAGAAAAAATCTTTGATAAGGATTGAAAGGAGTACAATAAAATAAAATGAAAATAAATTCTGGTGGTAATATATAGAGCTGCGTGTCACATGAGCAACTGAGTCACTTGTGTGGACATCCAGGCAGCTGAAACTGCAGGGTAGTCACCTGTAAACCTGACTCTCATGTGAAGCAGTGAACTGTGAACTCCGGGCGCTGGCACATTAAGACACTTCTGAATAGACCTTCTGAGTTTGGTGGATCGTCATAATCTTACTTAAACGAAGTTCAATGTTGAAATAGTGATTATAATTAATCAAGAACGAAATTTTGTTAAACTTTTCTCAAGGTAGAGTACCACAGCGTCCATTTTAGAACATTCTGGAGCAATAGAAGATTAAGCATCATGAAGAATGTTCAATAGATAACGGAAAGTCTGATGCTCAACGTACCAAAGAATCATACAGAACCAGTCGTGATGCAGCTTTCACAGATTGCTATGCATCAAATAGAACCGCAGCTTCACCTTAAAAAGGTCTTTCGCTATAACTGTCTGTCCTTTCCCCTGGTATCCATACAATGACTCCAAAGTTCTTCACATATTCGGATATAACGCAAAATTGCTGAAAAGTCCTAGCGGAATCGGCAAGAGCGCAAAGTGCAGAGCAGGATTACAATAGTTTCAGAGCTTGGATCAGCTCCACTTTCCCTCAAGCACCGGGCAGCACTGGCATGTCCTGAAAGACTTGTTCAAGTAAGAGCAACGATTAAATAACTATAGGAGAGCAATGCACCACACTGTAGACGATCACTTGCAGTGATCCACCAACCTAAATTCAACTTGCGCCTGCAAAGTGGCTTTGATCTTGCTCATCGTTCAACTCGTGCCGTACACATCTAGGAGAAAGCTGTTGGCTATCACGTCCAGTTTACATCCTGCGAGTTGCATCTGCTCCAAGATCTGCTCCAAGATCTGCTCCATCTTTTCAAATTACTAACAGCTTTTCTGTATGCGTGCGTGAGTGATCTGTGAGCTAGCATATCTGCTGGACAACCTGCAGATGACATTCTTTTCATGATCCTGTCCTAAAATCGTTTACTACAGACATCAACCATTGTGTTATATGTGAAAGTACCAGGAGTAAAGCCGGCAGTTACCTTAACATCCTTTTGCCCCTTCCGTCTTGCACCGAAGACATACATTTCCATAAGCATCAATAAGAACGTTGAACGTAGGTCCAAATAAAATGAAGACCACCTCCTCGACTTCGCTGAACAATGCATCAATTCTCTCTCACTGTCTGGCTCGTCCAAACACAGCCATTAGGTCGCAGAATTAGGTTCACAAGGAGGAGTCTCTTCCATCTTTTGAGAAACAGAGTCTACCTTCTTAAGCAAGCCAGACCGCCCGCATGTATCAAGGAGCGCAGCAATGACATGGACGTCTGGATTTGAACTCTGTTTCGAAGAGCCCGAACATTTTACAGATAAACTCACAGTCCTCTTCGTCGACAACACGCGTGTGATTACTAACTAGGACAATACGTGCAAGTTTCTTTGTGCTGATGCTGTCTATTTTGTTTATATTTTTGATACCTTGGTATTTGTGGCGAAATGTCACGGCCGACTCGACATTTCTAAGATTAGGGTGGTGCTGAACCCTTTTAAATTCTTATCATTATACTTCCAATAGTGGACTACATGTTCCAATTGATGAAATTGGGAGTTTAGTCAAATTGAGCTTTGTTTTGTTTTTACGTATTTAATTTAAGTAAAATTTCTGTTGTTATTTAAGAATAAAAATCTAATTATATAAAAATGTATTGCTTGTCAAAATGTAGTCCTAAGAGTGAGTGAAAGTGAAACATTCTTTTCAAAATAATTTTTTACAAATTAACAATTTAGACAAGTAGCCAATAAATTCCAATGTCAATACATATTCTTTAAGAGCTTAAGAACTTAGGAAAGAAAGCATGTTACTTAACAAAAAATTATTTTATGATTTTTTTTCTTGGTTTTATTTAAAATTATGCTAGATTTTTGCTAAAACCAAAACCTTGTGAGGAAGATGCAAATATTGTCTACAATAAATTAGAATATTTATCAAATCATGTAATTATTGTACATTTTTTAGATAGAAATCTTACAATAATTAATTTTTATAATTAGTAATGTAATTATGAAGTTATATTAAATTTATTTAAAAAAATAAAAGAAAAATAGTAATATCATATAAAATTTAAATTATTATATATAACTTGAAAAAAAATTGTTACTCTCTTTATATTGAATTTTTGTTAGAAGATAAATATTTTAGTTATATATTTATAAATTTAATCTAAAGATAATTAAGAATCTAAATACTATATTAGAATTAGGCTTAATTAAGATTTTATTCATAGATAGAGTTAAAAGACCTTCCAAATTAGTTTTTAAAAGTTATTTTCTAAATAATAGGAAGTTTGGATGAAGATTTGAAAACAAGCCATAACAACAAAGGTTTATTGGAGTCTAGATTTTTAAAATTTTTAAGTCTAATTAAAATTAGAATTAAAATTTAAAATTTAAAATTTTAATAGATTAATAAAATCCCGATTTAATAAATGTATTGCATATAAACTAATGATTGGATTATGAATTTGAAACAATTATTTAATATTAAGTTAAAATCAACCATAGAAATATATTCATAAAAAGAAGTACTATTTTTTTTTTTTTTAAATATGAAGTCAAATATTAAAAAATAAAAATCTATATCAAAGACATTAAGCAATAATTTTAAATAGATTTTTTAATAAATAATATAAAAATAAAATAAAATAAAATAATAAATATAGTCTTATTTTAGTAAAAATATAAAAACTAGAAAGATATTATTAAGTTAAAAATAAAGGCTTACATTCTAAATCAATATGATATTTTAAAGATAAATCAAAAATATTTTTGTAAAGACCTTCTACCAATAGTTTATAGCAATTTTTTTGGATTATTCTAAATAATACTATTTTTTCTATAATAAGTCTATTTAATGCATTAAATTTAGAATTAGATTTTGAGTGTTTTTAAAAGGTGCTCAAATGTCAAATAAATTGTATCTAGTTTTAATAAAAAAAAGAATTTAAATAAAAATTTAAGTTGCTATGGATTCAAATAAAAAGCTTAGAGGATAAGTTATTAAAATATTAAATAAGGCCTATATTACTTAATAAAATTGGCAATATAAGAAGAAACCTTTGCAAGCAAGTAAGGCATGTTAAGACATAATAAGAATCTTATTAAATAAGACCAACATTTAGAAAAACCAAAGCATAAAACATATATATGAACAATTATATAAACTAAAGAAAAATCAGAAATAAATTCAACCAAAGAATTATTTAAATTCTTTGTAGTTCAGCAAGTCATAACAAAATAGCAAATATATATATATATAAAGAAAAGAAAAACCAATACTTGCATACTTAGCCAAACTAGTAAAAGAGACTAAATAAAGACTTATAGAAACAACCTCATCCAAACATGTTGATAACAATAAAGAAGAACAACAATAGGTTGTAAGACAATCATGGAACAAGGCAAGTAGCAAATTATTGTTGGATACCAATTCAAGTTGTAAGACTAAAAAACATTGTAATTTGTATATAATCAAGTTACAAAGTTGTAGGCATAAAGTTAACAAATATCTTTTAAACTTTAACTTTAAAAAAACTTTATTATCTATTATTTAAATGATATTCTAATCTATTCTAAGAACACAAAAAACACATAAACTTCATGTTCATTGTGTATTACAAAAACTTAAAGATGTAAGAGAGTATGCCAAAATAAAAAAATATGTATTCTATACTTTTGAAGTTTACTTCTTAGGATACATCATTTCCAACAAAAGACTTGTGAAATCCAAACTATTATAGGTTGAAAGGTTCTAAAAACAGTCAAAGATGTGCAATGGTTTTTGAGATTTTTTAATTATTATAGAATCTTCATTAAGAACTTTTTCAAATTGCAGCTTCTCTTAAATGCTTGATGTGTAAAGATAAATTTAAGAAGAATAAAGAAATTGAAGCATCTTTTGAAGCTTTAAAGACAACATTTATTTCTACACCAATTTTGTTTTGCGTCAATTTTTTGAAGACATTCTTTATGACACATCAAACTTTGCTATAAATGTTGTTTTGTTACAAATGAGAGTAGATGACAAGCTCCACTTGATAGCTTTTCATTTCAAGAAATTTTGAGCAACAAAGATAAACTATGTATGTTTTGAAGTTTTCAACTTTATCTAGTTAACTTGTATAACTTCTGCAAATCCCTTCATTGACGTCCCTTCACAGTAGTGAGGAACAAGAGTGCTGGTTGCTGTCTTGTTTCTCTTCATGGTTGTCTCTGACTCTGCAATTTCTACTCCACTTCCATTTCAATCGTAGTCCCCTAGGCATGTGATCTTGAATCGTCGTTTTTTCCTAGATAAAAGTAGTTTGTTCTGAACACTGGATAGTTGTCTAAGTTAAATCCCGTGAATCATTCGAGCCGTGACAATTCGGTTTTGTTTGGCACTTGACCTGCATCAAGAGGTGTATCCTGAACAATAACTGTATGTCGCAGGTCCTAACGACGGAAACGGCTCGCTGTCTAAAGGGGATTCTTCTCTGCCATCCTCTTTAGAGTCGTTAGGGCGTAACAGGGATACTCGTGCGCTACTGATGTCTCCTTCGTGCTTCTCTTGCAAAGACATCAACATCCATTTAGTAGATTGATTGATGGCGGGCCTACGTATGGGTAGTTTTCTGGTGAAAATCCACCTAATTACAGTCAATTCGCTTCAGTCCCTTCACTCGAAATGTCCACTATGGAATGCGGAGGTTGGTAAGGAGCACGATGTGTAAGACGCTGGCATATGATGCTACTTGAAACACTTGTTCTACTTGTTCTTCTCAAAATAAAACAGTTCCGGCTGCGCCTGATATTCAAGCGATTTTCAAGACTCTGTCTGGGAAGGGTTTGTTGCGTAAGAGACATTCAAGAATTGCACGAGTTACGCGAGGAGTTAGGACACTGGTCCAGTCATGAGCGAAATCTTCGACGGGTACGAGAGGCAGTTTTGCGAGCTGTGTACTCACATTAAAAAGCGTTGCAAATCAGTCAGTTCCAATGAAAGTGCGTTGTTACTTCAGACTTGCATATGCTTTGTGTGATTAGCAATTCACCTATAAATCGCACGCTACAATTTTGTTTGAATTAGCCAATTCAAAGTTGATCTTGGCATGTTTTCAAATTTAGCCGCATATCTCCCTTTTAAAAGAAAACTGTTTCTGAATGGCAGCGGAGAAGAAGCAGAAGTATGACGAGCTCAAAACTGGACTGGATCAGGCAGAGTCCTTGGTACTGGATTCTTTATCCAAGCACATTAGGTCATTATACTCTGGGTATATTATATTTTGTGGCGTTCAATAAATGTTAATTCAAATGCTTGTTCAAGAATTCATAGCATTCCTGGTAGATTAAAGTGGTGAACAAATGAGTGCAGATCAGGAGAATGGATCTGGAGGCGCGGACCTTGATTCCCCCTTTGAAAATTGCGCTTCTCACAAAGCTACGAGAATACAAGTCAGACTTGAATGTTCTTAAACGGGAAGCCAAAAATTTCTTGGTTTCGATAGATTCACTTTCAGCCAGAAATGAACTGATCGATTCTAGGCCGGGTGGCCTTCAATCAAGGGTACGCAGACAGTTGAAAACACTTCACCAACAAGGCTACTTAGAATTACCAATGGTTGTGGGGAGTCAACTGTATTTTTTCCTTTATTTCCCCTCTAACTTCGAGATACATGCACCTCCGCCTCTCTTGAAAAATCATGTTGTTCAGGGGCCCAAAAGTTAACTGTCTTGCAATCCCTTCTTAGTGCATTTCATTAGTGATGGGAGGTTTTAATAATGTATTTAGAAATCAACGGATAGAATGCCGTGCTGCAGTTCGAAGCAGATCAAAGAGATAGGCTTGTAAATGCCACAGACAGGATCAATCGATCTGGCGAAAAGGTAAAGGAGAGCAGACGGCAGCTTATTGAAACCGAAGACCTAGGTGTGCGAATTCTTCAGGATTTACATGTTCAACACCAAACGCTTCTTCATACACAACAGATGGTGAGCCTTTCTTCGACTCTAATGTACTCAAAAGGGTTCGAATATTTTTGGCATGAAGCACCTTCGACAAACTGGGAGATCTTACAAATTGATGAAATCGTGCAAGAGCAATCGTACAAATTTTATTTTGCACGAATGATCTGATGTCTCTTTTTTTGATGCATATTTACACGATCTGACATGCAGATGCATGGAGTAGATACCAATATTGCAAAGAGTAGCCGTTTGCTGAGTTCTATGTCTCAGCGCTTCGAAAAGCACAAGTACATAATGACAGGCATAATAGCGGTTCTGTTTCTTGCGATTATGTTTGTTATTTACATAAAGTCTCACAAGTAGTTCGAACTTGAAGGAAGTTCTTGCAGGATGTGAGGTTGATAGATGCATGTAAGCCGACTTGCGAAGTGTAGCATCAATCTTTGAATTGAAGACCATGTACTAGTGGGATTCAAATCCAACATGTTCGGAGCCCATGTAGTTTTGTTGTGGCTACTTGAAACATGGCGGGTTTTCAGTTTTTTCCGTAACTGTAAGCCAGCCAACAATGACGTTGATTTCATGAGGTGTTCATGTCACCAGTCCCAACAGAAATACTCATGTAGACAGTAAACATGGTGCTGGCTTCCGAGTGCATCTGAAAGGTTCTGCTCTCGTTATCAGGTGAGTAACATATAATCTGAAGAACTGGCAATCATATTGTATAAGCTATCAAATGTATTCTCAGATTCCATACCTTGGTGAGTAGTCTACCATATTCTGGAAGTGATGAGTTGCTACCAAGGTTTGAAACTGACGTCATCCGTGTGTTTTAACAACTCCATATTGTGTTTTTCTAGAAGAAGGTTCATCTCTTTAAGATTCAATGCTTACATGTTTCTGTGTGGTGCTCAGCTAGATCATTCCTATCATTCCTGACTACCTCCATAGCATTAGGTCAGCATTCCTACTCAGATTGTCGGAAACTTCGTTTGTCTGTTAATGAGGTTAAAGAGTGGGCTGCATTCATGGAGTAATCCTTCACAAAGTGTCCCTTCTCATTATGCCGTAGAACTCATCCTGAGTAACTGCACAATGACATTAAGCATCGTATGAAAAGCTGAAGCCATATTACTCAACAAACGAAGTCCAGCATTTTAATTCAAATCAAGAATAATGCAGAAGGTAATCTGTAGAACATTCTGTTGAGGGTTTACAATGCACACTTGCAAGTCAACCGAGTTCGGTATTTATCAAAGTAGGATTTGATTCTGTGCGGAAAGTAGGGGTTGGTGGTACATCATCAGAATGCGCTGACCATACCTTCACCATCCCCGTCCCTGTCAACTGCAAGAACATCCCAGCAGCCAAATTTTAGTACACAGGAGTTAAATTGCAGCGTGGTAGACACATGAGTATCCGAATTATGAGTCTACGGTGTGTCTACTACTGATCAAGAGTAGACGCTTTTTTCCCAAGAGCTGCCTAAGCCACCTAAACTCCTTGCGCTACTGACTGAGAGATTCAAAATAGATTGGTTTCTTTAACTTTTACACTTCGGTCCCTGCAGCAACTAGATCAATTAGTTGATATACTGGCTATCATTCTTAATCCACATTCAGGAGGTCCCACAGAAAAGGTTATAGAATCGAATGAACTAACATATAGTGATCATTGCCTCGAGCTGCTCATCTGTGAATGGCTCTCCCAGGTCCCTCGCCACTTTCCTTACGTTTTTTATCTGCTTGCAGTCACGTCCAAGGTCAGACTTTATCACAAATATCACAAACATTCGAAATATTCTCTGCTCACTCGGACACCATTCTAAAAAGAACTTCGTTTTATAATTTTCGTGAAGGTGTCATGGTAAAGAACTACGATTATAGCTACAACACCCCATGCAGACATACTTGTGGTGTGTAGGAAAAAATGTAACGATTGAAATTAGGGATGATACACATTCGATCAGTGTACTGGATTTTACAACTACTGCGAGTTTTAATACTATACTCTACCTTGTTACTAAAATTTTGCAGGTCAAAAACACATTATTATATTGTATATAATTATTCATTTCTATTATACTTTAATCTTTTCATTTTTCAGGTAAAGCTTACTTGATTCTTAAAATTCTTTCAATTAAATACATTTTTGCATGAAGAAATTGCACTAATTTAGGTGTAAAATCATAAGTATTTTGTTCTCTCCATTCTATACTGATATACCTTGAATACTGTGAACTCTTCTATCACTGTAGCTCACAAAATTGAGTAAATCTCAAAGATGACGCAATTCTTTGTTATTGGTGCGGCTGACAGTAATTGAAATAAAGGGTGTTCTAAGCTTCTGGTCAATTCCTGGAGCTGGGGGGTTTTGTTAGTTACCGATATTTTACCCCTGCCTTCCTCATCATAGACTGTCCACATTTTGCCAATGGTTGCCTCTGGATCTTTCTCTTTGTATTTCCTCATTACTTTTGTGATGAAAAGGAAAAGATTAGGGAACCCAAGAATGAAATTATGTTGACAAAATTTTGTAGCTGCGTCGTCGATTTTGCAGCTCTGGTGAAACGAAATATTTTGAAGACTGTAGACACGTGCATGTGCAGAATATAAAAGATATCTTGAAATCTGGAACTACCTTATCTATCATATCTAGGTACTAAAATTGATTTTTTCGGTAATAAAATATGAAAATCAATTCATTTCGAGAAGCAGTGGTCGCTTACTGATTTGCATGAACTCCTCATGGTCAATCTCATTGTTGTCGTCCTTAGAAAACTGTTTCATGAGTTTTAACACCTCCGCTTTCTTCACATCGCATTCCAGTGCTCTCATCGCCCCCTGCATTCATACATGATGGCTATAATCTTACTTGCAATCTAATGCATGATCCAAAAGACATTAAACGTGTCACGCCTGTACAAGCAAGAGCGCACCGCAAAGAATGATGATAATTTGCACCTTCATGTCTCTGTAACAAAGTCTGCCAACTTTTCGGGTGTCGAATAGTTCAAAGGCCAGTCTTATCTCGAATTTGTCAGCGTTGCTGATGTCAAAGATTTCGTTTTTACGAAATATCCTGGGGCTAACAGCAACAGCACGTGCTGTTAATGTGTTATACTCTCCACATCGTGAGGCCGTAGGGGTGGAAGGAGCAATTCTTGAAAGGTGCGACGAAGATGATGAAACGGGATTCCATGAGGGTTTCCTTCTGAGATCTTGAAAATCTCGTTGTTCCAAGGATTCCATGCATGTCTTTGTCATTTCGTCCTACGTCCTTATTCCTTAAAGACAAAATGAGTTGCAAAATTAGTCTCCGCCAAGGAATAACTTCAGCTCACTGTCAAGATGATGATACATCTTACTTCTTGTTATTCTTATTTAGGAACTGAGCCACGTTAACGAAATACAAGCCAGCTTGTCTGAAATTTGCTAGATTACGTATACTCGCTAATCACTACAAACAGATCTTAATCAGACTTTCTATAGTACCTTCCACAAGTATACTGTATGATCAGTGGAAATTACTGTCCCACGTAAGAGCAATACTAATCACCATCGTAAACATTCATTGCATTCTTGTTGTATTGAAGCAAAGGGAGATGCTACAGTGAAGGAGAGTGTGGGAGCCCAACAGCCCATGGGTGACTAATGCCGATCCTAATGAGATTGTGAACTTTCAGAAATAAGGTTAAAACATGCGAGGTCCGATTTATGCCGCAGAAGTCAATTGTAAACCCCCACCAATTTAAAGTTAGAGGAGAATTACCGCATTGGTCATATGTCGTACGGAAGAGAAAAAAAAACATTTAAATTTAATTGGTCAAAAGAAACCCACTTCTTGATCAGAGGCAAGAACACCGCAGCCTCATCACAAGTTAATTGAATGCAGCAGAACTGTTTCGGAGTTTCCGTAACAACTTCCTAGTCTTAGCTGTGCGATGTCGGCATTTCTATCACTGACGCAACAGAATTTTGCTGCATGCGAACAAATATACACCACGACAAATACTGGAGTGTTTCTAAGATTTAACGTAGATTTTCGAACATTGTGCCATCAAGTTTCCTCGAGGTTTTGCTTGACTCTGTGGTACGATCTTCTTAATACAACCACTTCAGCGAAAAATGTTGGATCATTCGCTAAACAATGATCAGAGCTTAGCTAAAATACTCACCTAAGCACTCCTGAAAATCTGAACTCGAATTTCCATATTGAAGATCAAAATAAATTAAAACGCCGACAAAGGTTATTAGTGTCTCCAACCACATCACCACCTCATACCAACAAGCGCAATTAGTGGATATTACTTTTTACACTTACGACGGAAAAGAGCCACGGAGTTCGAATCTAAAACATATCCGACACCACCGATAGACAAACTTCGGCTACACATTTCCTGGGCGAGGACAGGAGCATACCGAACTTCTACACTCTATTCGATTAAGTTCGTCACGCGGTTGGCGACACTTTCGACGTTTCCAGGTGGCCTTCACGAACCTAAACTCATCGTTATTCAACTACTGGAAAGATTCCGATCGATAGTCCGTCTACAATACAATACAATACAAGACCCGTGGTGCAAAGCATTTGCTGCAGGCACTGCATCTTCAACCAGCTTCACCGAGCAATCCCGTTCGAGAGGTGCGATTCAAGAAATCGGCTGCGGGGAAGAGAACCGGCATCCCGTACCAGGGTCTCGGTTCTTGGTCCGGATCCGGATGGTACGATACCCGGGTGGTGCGAACGGATATATGACCGTCTATCAGGTTATCGCCATCGTATGAAAATGGGTAACAATCTCTTCAGTGTGAATCCGAACAATTTGTAGTTTTGAATCTTATGAAACTATAAGATAATTTTTTTAAAGGTAAAATTCTATTTCCGTTTGTTTCTACATTTTTATAAATTAACTGTGATTTTTTTATCATATATTTGGCTTATATTATAATAAAGTATAGCATACAAATTTTAGTTTATTTCATTTTTTGGTAATTTAAAGTATTTTAATTTTTGTAGTTTTTCAGATTTTATGACACTGAAAATTTTAAATTAATAAATTATCTATTTTTTAATATTTTTTATTTTTTTTGTAACACAAACTTAAAATATTGCTTCCACATACAATCATTAAAATATCTAATAGCATGCTTCTTAAATCTCAAATTGAAGGAAAGTAGATATTGATCATAATATATTCTCTTACATCTTACCTTTATCAAGTAATTTTATGTTTGTTTATGCATTTAAACATATTATGATTAATATTTTATTCTACTTTTATTTTTACTAATTAGTTCAAACTTAATTTAAATGATAGTTCTACAGTGTGATTATTAAATTTTGAGATTTTTTGAGTATTATTTTAAATAATATCAAAAATAAAAATAATAATTAAAATATTAGATTAAGAAAAGAAAGATAATATACTACAAAATTTTAATTTTTTTAAAAAACAAAAACATGTTTGAATTTTTGTTGAAATAGAAACAAATGTCTTTTTCTACACCAAATTGCAATACAAAGATGCCTTTAAGCAAAGAGCATAAAGATTAACTTGTTGGAAGCAAAGTGTTGATTAACAAAATTAGGATTTTGTATAGATTTGGTGTATTGACAATGTAAGATTATAATTTATAAAATTGAGATAAATTAGAAAGTTAGATTAATCTTTAAAAAATCCTACAAAAATCTTATGACATTTTAATCAAATTTAAGTAAACCTTAAACAATCCTTAATGAACCTTAATAAATTCTTAAAAATCCAAATCAATCCAAAAGAAATCATTAAAAAATTCATAAAAAATATTTAAGAAATAATTAAGAAATAATAAAGAAAAATTAAAGAAATACTAATCAAATCCTAATCAGTTCTGAAGAAATCCCAAGTAAACTTTAATTAAATCTTAATCAAATCCTTAAAAAATTCCATAATTAATTTAAAATCTTAATAATCATTACTTTAACTGTTGTTTTTTATTCAATTTTTTTATACTTGTCGATCTACTAATTAACAACATGCACATAAAATTCAAAGAGAATAAAAAATTTAAAATTGGAAATAAATAATGCTTCTAATTTACTTTGGTGTTGAATGTCATTTTTTTTTAATCTTAATGTTAACCTTCTAGTAGCAATGTCTCTTTTTTGAATTTTTTATTTTCTACCAAACCTGTTTCAATGTTAAAAACTAAATCAATTATCAATATGCAAAAGAATCATTTCAATCTAATTGAAAAATCCTTCAAAATAGTACAAACCATTAGTAGTCTTTAAAATTCAATTTTTAAGTTTCTAATTTATTTAAATTTTAATTAAATAAAAATTACAAAACACATTCAATATAACTATATTTAAAAACCTAAAAATTTTAAATTGTAGATTTCCTATAAACCTCACATGGCTCACAAAAATATAACTTTTCTTTTATTCAGCAAAAAATAAAGTCACCTAAAACAATTCTAAATTTTTTAATTTGTGACAAAATTAATATTTATAAAAATTCTTCAAAATCAACGTTTCAAGAAATCTTATTAATTTCTTTCTAATCTTACTCTAAAATCAACAAAAGGATCTTTTAATTGTTGTAGGTAAAATTTTTTTAATTTTTCACTATTATTAATACTTGAAGGTCTAATTTTGATACTAATTTATAATCAATCTTTTTTAGATATTAATATAAGGTATTTCTAAGTAATTTTTATTAAAACCTATTTTTTACTTATATCTAAAGATGCTCATAATATTGTTCTTTCTAACCTATTTTTTGTCTTATTAATAGCTTTTTTAAGTAAATAGAAGTCTTTTTTCACAAAATGATAGCATTAGCATTAAGTTTTTTTTTACTATCTCTCTCTATTTATTTTTTTTTTAAAGTAATTTGCTACTATCTTTTAAATTATGCTCTTTTAAAATATAATCTTTATTTTTTTCTATTACCCAATAGTCATTGTAAATCATTGAAATGGCTTACTTGTAGTTTTAGAATAAAAAGTATATTTATAGTAGTGTCATGGACAAACATATTTATTCCAATAATTACCTATGTGATTAAGTAGAAGTAGATAAAAGTTGATTAATTTCATAATTTCTTCTAAAAAAGCTTCATAGATGTTGCTTTGACTTTATATGTATTTGTAATTAATTGGTAGGTTAGAAACTTAGTCAACAAGTTAATTACATGTCAAATATGTTAATATCTTATAGAACAAGCTAAGTTTATAGTACACATATAGATAACTTGCCTTATAAGTTAAGATATGTATTTAACAAAGTCAAAATGTGTTAGAGATTCTATAGAATATTCTTATATTGTCATATTAGATGAAGCCATGCTTAAGAATGCATCAAATACATCATTGTGGAAGGTAGAAGGAATATTGCAACAATAAGATTTTAATTCTAATTGAATCATAAATAACTTTAATTTAAGCTTAACAATGCTAATCAAGCTTTAATCAATCTGAAGAAATCTCAAAGAAATTACGAAAGAATAATAAAGAAATCATAAAGAAATTCAAAGAAAGTATTAAAATAAAATCAAAAATATATTTTAAATAAATTCCAACCAAATCTTACTTTAATCCTAGTTAAAATTCAAATATTTCTTATTTAAATCCTAAGTCAAATCCTAGCTAAAACCTAAAAAAATCCTAAATCCTAATTAATTCCAAAATCCTAAACCAAATCTTAATCAAATTAACCTAACCTTGAGATAGTTTAGAACCTCAATATCTATCAATTATACCATTGATCTTGCTTAAGATTTTACACACCTTTCAAAAACTAACTTGGCAACAAGCTTACAAAATTTGAAGAAGATCAAACTTACCAAATAGAAAATCAATTGTAAATTCCACTTAGGTATTGGTTGGCCTCCTATTCCAATCTAAATGTTGAACTTCCAGTGCAAATATCTCATTCTTAAACCATTGAATTGCCTCCAAATTATACTTAAATTGTGGAAAATCAAGTCGAGTCTCCATACAAATCACTTCAATCCAATCAATAGATTGCTAAAGATCTTAAAAATACTCACTAACCCTCAAATTCCAATTTCTAAGATCTCAACCTACAAAAACCTTCACATACTTCGATCTAACTATTTGATTCACCTCAAAATCTTCACACATTAACAACTAGAATACCAATATGCTATCCAAAATTCACTTGTATACACACCATAGAACTCAAAAAATCCTTGATTTTGTAAACATAATTTTATTTTTCAAAATTTAATCCAACCAAAAACTAATTTTAAAAATCTCTCAAAAATTGAATATTAACTCAATTGACATAAAATCAACATTTAAAAATCTCTTTATAAATTTTCTCTCTATATTCTACTCTTTGATCTACCAAAGAACCTTGGACTTTTCCTAGGTACATGGATTTATGCCTTAGAGATTGATTTTGATCTAGATTGACAACTAGTCCTCTCTGAATATCAATATTTAATAATTTGAGGTACTTTTTACTTGAATCTATTGATAACTCTTTTCTAAACATGTCTATATCAATTATTCATCTCATTTATTTTGATTTGAGGCATTAATGCTTTTATAAAGCAAATAGAAGTTTTTTTTTTAAAGGCAGTATTAAGACTTAATTTTTTATTATCTTCTTATTATTTATCCTTATTTTTCTACTATATCTTCCTACTAGGCTCTTCTATAACAACATCCATGTTTTTGTTTTTCACCATATAATTGTCTTACTACATGACAATATAGCTCCTAGTTAGAGAGTATATATGGAAGTAAGAGTCAAGTTTTTTTTTTTTTACTCTTGTCAATGCCTTTTTAATCCTTAGTCTTGTTTCAAGACTTTTTAGGCTTTTTGTCTTCGGCAATAGCCATTCTAATTCAATATATTACTATCTTTGAGTGATTTTTTAATCTTTTTGAGTGACACAAGAGCGTATTGAAGATTTCTTTCTTCAAAATTCATGTCCTAGACAATTTGGCAAAAATAATATTTTATTGTTTATGTCTTGTTTTAGAAGTAAGTGGATTATTCTACTTCTATTGTTGAATTTTGAAGGTTGCAAACTACTCATCTTTAAACAAATAGTTTAGTTTTTTAACCTTAATTTTTTTCTTAAAGAGAATGGATTATTATTTTTTGTAGAAATTTTCATTTGATATTAGAGGTTGTAGATTATTTCCTTTAATTTATTTTTTTTAATTTATTTGAGTTGTCTATAAAAGAAAAGATTATAGATGCTACTCTTAGTGAAAGTAAGAATAAATTTGTAACTATTGTAGATCTTCATGAACTTTTCAATATTCTAAGGATAAAAAACTTATATACTTCTAATGTGAATCATGGAGGTATTATTCCTATGCATATGGAAGAAGTCCATAGTCTATGCCAAGCAATATTGCAATTGAAGAAAGGAAGTAGATCAGCCTTACAACCAAATTTAGGAAGTTTTGTTTTTAAAGATTCAAAAGAGGCAAGGGTTAGTATGCCTGAGAAGTTTGATAGAACAAGATCAAAATTTTAAGGATTTTTGCAACAAATTAAGCTATATTTAAGTTGCATCCTTTCCAATACTTCAATGGATTTATTCAAATTGAATTTATAGTTATATTTCTGTTACAAAGT